GATCCTCCCGCCTGGCTCAGGAGTGCGGGGATGACAGGCGTGGATTGAGCCACCGCGCCCGGCCTTGATTCTAGACTTTCTGACCCACAGAAACTGAGAGACCATAAAAGGGGGTTGTTGTTCCAAGCCACCAAGCTTGTGTTCGTTAGTTACAACAGTGATAGAAAACTAATGCACTTCCCTAAATCTTTGAAGGTGAATGTGACTATTTTAATTTTATGGGTTGATGACAGGAAAATTCAGCGAAACATTTCCAAATATTTGTCATCATAAAAGGTCGACATTAGAATTTTTTTACATGCAAATTCTATTATTTGATGTAGGCTTATCCTTCGGAAATCTCAAATTATCACTTGTTTCTTTTTATTTATTCATGTCCATATCTCTTGCATATGTTTGGGATTTATTTGAATCTAGATCTATTTGTCTTCAAAGTAACATTTCCACCCCCCTAAGATACAACACTTCCATCCCAGAGAGGTTGAAATGTCTCGTAAAATGCTGTAAACATAAAAGGTATGTTTATCGGTATTAGAAGTAATATTTATTCCATAAAAGTAAATAGGTTTGAGGAGTAGAATGACCAGGGAGAGATTTAAAAACAACAAACAGATAGAAGTAGTTTAATTGGGAATTGATTTTCGAGTCTAAAAGAAAAACAGGAGAGAGCTATTACGTGGTTAATTATACCTTTCTAAAAAAAAAAATAAAAATTAAACCAGCCATTTTTGTGTGTGTAAATAATTAAGAGATCCGTTTTAGTTCTATATGACTTTGAGAGAAAGTAGAATTAAAGCAGTAGTTCTCACCGAAGATTATTGTTAAGAAAGTAACAAAATCAAAAAAATGTGTAAAGTAAATAAAATATATATTACCTAACCAAAAAAAAAGCAAAGTAGGGGCAGACAGTTTAATCCATCTTTTGTTTTCCAAGGTACTGAATTGTTCCTTTTTGTCTGACAGAAAAATAGATTGCTTTTCTCTAGCCAAGAATTCTCCAATCACACAAACCTATGCAAGAGATATGGACGTGGATAAATAAAAAGAAACAAGTGATAATTTGAGATTTCCGAAGGATAAGCCTCCATCAAATAGTAGAATTTGCATGTAAAAAAAAATTCTAATGTCGACCTTTTATGATGACAAATATTTGGAAATAATACATATGACAGAGTGACTTTCTGTGTAGAATCTTCCTGGTCATTGCTTTTCAAGGGATTAGTAAATCGAGGCCAGTATTCCTAATATCCATTGGGGTTGTTTATATTTTCAAACTTTTTATGATAATTATTTGTTCTTTTTTTCTAAACTCTACACTCGATTTTCAGACTGTTTCCCGTCACTAAAGAGTTTGTATTCAGGCCGGGCGCGGTGGCTCACGCCTGTCATCCCAGCACTCTGGGAGGCCGAGGCGGGAGGATCAGCTCAAGGTCAGGGGTTTCGAGACCAGCCTGAGCAAGAGTGAGACCCCCGTATCTACTATAAATAGAAAAAAAATTAATCGGCCAACTAATATATATAGAAAAGCTTAGCCGGGCATGGTGGCGCATGCCTGTAGTCCCAGCTACTCGGGAGGGAGGCTGAGGCAGGAGGATCACTTGAGCCCAGGAGTTGGAGGTTGCTGTGAGCGAGGCTGATGCCACGGCACTCACTCTAGCTCGGGCAACAAGGCGAGAGACTCTGTCCCAAAGGGGAAAAAAAAAAAAAAAGAGTTTATATTCAGATTGTGCAGGTAAAAGCCCACCTGTCTATGTGTGGTTGTTACCTGGCTCTCATTTCTTTTCATATCTTTGGTCTCTACGCCTGAAATTCACTATCCCAGGCGAATTTTTCTCTGTGCAAGAAAAACATAAGTGCAGATTAAAAAAAAAAAGAAGAAGAAGAAGCAAAAGTCTCCTTGCTTTTCTACGTTTAGTAAGCTGCAATACAATATTTTTTTACATATCAATACATATATAGACTTTATATACGCAACTGCAATATAATACATATATCATTTATAACTGCATACTATATTTTACATTACAATAATCTATATATGCTATATATAGTGTACATAATAATAAGTACTATGTGTAATAGTCATTATATACCTACACTGAATACAATACACATATATATTATAATGGCACAAATATATTCTTACATAATACATATATACTTACTAATAATGTACATATATATACATATACTGTATATACTTATTTTATACACCTGCAATAAATACATATCTGATTTATCAACTGCCAATACATATATTCTTTACAATACAAAATATATATGTTATATACTGTATATATATACATATATGTATATATTATGAATCAACTGCAATACAATATATATACTTTATAACTGCAATACATATATTTTCTACAATACATACATATATATGTAACTATATATTGTCTATAGTATACATATTAGTGCTATATATTTATATAACAACTGCAATACAATACATATATATTTAATAAACTGGCAATAGCATTATATTTACAATACAATACTATATATGTATATTATGATACATACATATACATATATGTGTCAATATACTTCGTTATACCAACTGCATACAATACATATATCATTTAAATGCAATAGAAATATATGTTTACCATACAATACATATTATGCATATTATGTAGCATATATATAACCGATAATGTATATATTTATATTACACTGAATACAATAATAATATATTTATATAACTGCAATACATATATTTTACAATACAATACATATATATGTATATATATGTACATATATATACATATATATGTATATATTTATATACAACTGCAATACAATACATATATATTTATAACTGCAATACATAAAAGCTAACAGACACAGTGAGCAAAATATTAAAAGAAACAGGTGTGGAACAGCCGTTGGGAAGACACAGAGAGATCTGTTTCCTTCATGCTTTCAGTGGTCTGTCTCCCAGTGATCTAACGTTTTCTTTCTCTCTCCTCCGAACAGGAATACTATGACAAAGGGGATTACATCATCAGAGAGGGGGAGGCAGGAAGTACCTTTTTCATCCTGGCAAAAGGAAAGGTAAACATCGAGGAAAGCTTACTAACTCCGAAAATTGTTACTTGGAATGGGTTTGCCAAAAACTCAGCCATGCTTTGCACTGGGGCGTAGTCGTCTACGTTGAACAGTGACAGGAGCTTCTACCTGTGGGGTCTCACGCACTAGGCTTGGGGTGGAGGCCACAGGAGACCGGAGGTCGATTCCAGCAGAGATAACGTACCTTCTTAGTGGCCTTACCTAGCCCACTTGGCTTTTTGGGGTGGAGGGGCGAGATTAAACCGTGTATGAGATGGCTGGATTCTGTCTCACACTTCTAGCTGTGAGTGTGTGATTCTCAATCAGCTCCAAGATCCAAGATTACAGGCCGGGCCCGGTGGCTCACGCCTGTCATCCCAGCTCTCAGGGAGGCCGAGGCGGGAGGATGTCAGGATAGTTCGAGAACCAGCCTGAGCAAGAGCGAGACCCGCCATCTGCTACTAAAATAGA